AAATAATTCGAAAAATATAAATTTACCAAAATACCTCCAAACATTTACGGAGGTAGTTTAATCAATTTATATTTTCAGAATTATTTTTTTCATATTTTTATTAGGTGCAACTCACAAAGATGTACACACTCTCCAAATTTCAGATTATTCTGATTAGTAAAAATATATATGAAAATTGAAAACTACCAGACAATTATGACTGTGCGATGACAGCAATTAGCATCCTCGCTCTACAACCCTAAATCCCCAAAATCAGCAACCCTAGATTCCGTGGACTCTAGAATCTCTCTCACAAGAAGCCTCCTCCATTCTCAGCAACTATAAATAAAAAATAGTGGTTTAAATCAACCACTCACAGCAAGGTACGAATTCAATTTACTTTTGGCATGATTTCATGAAGTTCTTCTTGAACATATTTAGCTGCATTTTTTCAGAGCTATTTCATTGTATATCGTCTTTGTGTTTCATCTCTGCATGCTATTAATCCGCCAACTCCTAAATATATGGACTTCTACGATTTTCCATCAAATTGGATTATGCAGATCATACAAAATTGCATCTCGGACATGGCAGTTTGGAGATCATTCACAGATGCAATAATTTTTTATTTGAATATTGGGGATTTAGGTTTACATTTTTGTGGATTTAATTGTCTTTGTCTTGTACATTTACTATGGAATTTTTACCCATATTTCTTCACCATTATCTCCCTGCAAACGATTCCAGTATTTGCTTTGCTTTGCTTTGCCATCACCATTGTCACTCTGCAAAATCTCCATCTTGATTTGTTTTCTCTATCTCTCTCATCTTTGTTGAATCCGAATTTTTATAAGAAGAGGCTCAAATCTGTGGCAAAAATAACTCCAAATACCAAAGTAATGTAGTTATGAATTTAGATTTTCATTTTATCTATATTATGCTTATTTCCTTTACGTGACAATTTGGGGAAAGTGTTTATTTTCTTTGCCTGCATATTTTAATGTTTGGCTCTGTGAATTCCTAATTTGGAGATTTTTTTTTTTTTTTTAAAGTTGTTGAATGGCATCCATTGATGTTGCTTTGTTAAGTGCTTGATTTTTTAGTTTAAAATTGTCGAGTGGCATCCATTGATGTTGCTCTGTTAAGTGATTGATTTTTTTTCATTAGGTTTGTTTACTTTCAATCATCAAGCATTTTTGTTTGTTAATGGTTCAAACAGGGTGGAATTCATGTTGCTATGTGAAGTCATAATTTGGAGAAATATTTTACCGAAATTGTTGAATGGCATCTATTGATGTTGTTATGTTAAGTGATTGATTTTTTTTTATTACGTTTGTTTACTTTCAATCATCAAGCATTTTGGTTTGTTAATGGTTCAAATAGGGTGGAATTGATGTTTCTCTGTGAAGTCCTAATTTCGAGATTTTTTGGTTTAAAATTGTCGAGTGGTCATCCATTGATGTTGCTCT